ACGTGGTCAGCTCGCGGTCCCTAACAGCTTCTTTTGCAGCGACTGCAATAGAAGGCTACATGCGAGGATGAAGGTGGTCATGGAGGTTGCACACCGTGCTTTCAAGCCGGGCCTGGGTGCAGACACGACGGTCTTCGTCGCACTCTGCACCTCGACATCGTGCAGACTGCAAAAGAAAACGGAACAGCATGTCAGCGCGGCCAAGGAGGACCCTGATCTTCTCAGATCCTGGCCACGGAGGTCTGCGCAGACGCCTGGCAGGCTGGCTTCGTGGCCGCAAAACAAGGAGCTCAGTCGGCAATCAGATTAAAACCGCAAACGAACAGATCCCGTCAGCTGTTATAAAGCCGTCCTTTGTCTGTGGGCCAGCGACACAGGGCCTGCTTCAAGTTAAAGGCATGGCATCAAGGGATTTCCAACTCAGGGGATGTCAAAGCCGCTCACACACCGCAAGTTGCACCGAGACCGAGCCAGGCCTGGGTGCAGAGACGACGGTGTTCGCCGTCGTCTGCACCTCGACATCGAAAAGGATGGGAAAACGGAAAGCCGTGCATATTCGAGGACTGGCACTCACCGATCGTCTCAGTTTCTGGCCACGGAGGCCTGCATGTGCTCCTGAGGAACACACTGAGGAAGCAGATTGAATCAGGCAACGCAGAGGACGGCAGACAGTGACAGGGCGGTCCATTTTGGATGGGCCAGGCGCCAACGACCTGCTTCAAAGTCTAATGCATTTGGCAAAGCTTTCGAATGATGGTTAGCGCCCAGGCAATGTCATGGCATGTCAAGGCAGCACAAGTCTAACGCGAGGGCATGATAAAAGCCGGGTTTGCACCCTACTCCACAGTGCAGGTCATCCCTCAGCCGCGAGATTGCCGAAGCACTCTGCCGCAAGTGAGCTGCGAGCCTGGTGGCAGCAGAAACGGGTCGCGCCGCTGGCAAATTGGCCTCAGATTTACCGCTCAGCTCGATGGTATCGTGGGCACCTAACCGTCACGCTGCATGTCCGCACAGCAGCAGCATCCAGCAGCACCGCAGTGTCAGCACACTTGCACACATTCTCTGGGGCATGCACAGCCTTGACGGGAACATTGGGCCAGAAGGACTGAGCAAGATGCACGGACAGGTTTCAACACTACTGCCAAAAATGCTCGCTGGGAGCAGCAGCTTAGAAGCCAGCCGTCGCGGGCACCAACACGTGTGGCATCATGTAAATCCTTGCCCAACCCTCCCGCACAAAAACTACGAAATCTCCCGAAGCAGGCAGCCAGTCCGCTCCGCCAGAATTCTGCCCGGACCTAAGTGGCCCGAGGCAAGCGCTGCCTCACCGGCATGGTCACGGCGGCTGGCACCTCACACACGACGGAGAAGAGGCTGAAGAGGAGACCGAGACGCTGGCAAGGCTCTTCCCTGCCCGGCAGGGGGGGGGGGTGATGAGTCTTCATGTTGCACCAAGGCACGGCCCTCGGCACTGTGGCCACGTAGTAGTAAGAAACCTTAGCTCGTTTCTTTTGAGCAAGCTGCAGTCCAGCAGGCATCCGTTCGGCGCAATGGGCCGCTCTGAGCCCGTCACGTGGCTAGCCATCTGGCTGGCTGCTGCGTGCTTCCCAACGGTGTACCGCCGAGGTCGGGCCAAAGGCTGCTCGGCTTCAGCGAGTGATGACATCCTCTCACGAATTCCATCGCATCGGGATTGCCTCGGGCCTGTCTATTATGGCACGTCGCCTCAAAGCTCCTCGAACGGGACATCCTCTGTTTATCTCCGACTCTGTCTAAGTCACAATGGAAGCTACTTTAGCACCGACTATCTATCTGGAAAAGCGGCCAAGGGCACTAAGTGGGCCTGCGCACTCAATGCCTCCAGTAAAGGGAAACAGAACCTTGACTACAATGTAAAATAAGACGACAGAAGATGACAGAAGCTTCACACATGTCCACACCTCCTTGAATTCACATTCGCACGGGATCGCGAAACCCGCGACGGGACCTCGTGCCGTTTTCCCCGTCGTTGGTGGTGGCTGCGCAATCTAGAGGAATCTAGTGTGCTAAGTACCATCAGCCAGAACCACTCCTTTCGGGAGGTTCGTCGAGCTCCGAGAACCCAGCGTTATTCACCGGGAACAACGAACAACAGCCCGCCGCAGCAAGTTCGTCCTTCGGCATGCTGCTTGACACTGCTAATGTTTACTAATGTTAAAGCCGCACCTCATGTCCGACTTGCCAGATTTATGAACTGCTGCCGCGGGCTCTGGCTACGAGATAACAAATGTGCAAAGTCCCGGCGGCAACTTTGCACGTTTGTTCTCGTAGCCAGAGCCCGCGGCAGCAGTTCATAGATAACTGGCCTGCCTTCGAAGCATCCCATAAAACGCAGGACTGCTGCAGCCTCACGCGCCAGCGCCTTCCAACAGAGCAGAAACACATCGAGGCACCGCAAACCCATGAGGAGCCATCTAAATCAACCGAAACGCCGCCTCAAGAGTGCCTGCCTGCAACTCGACTGCCCGTTGAGAGTGCGAAGATACAAACCCATCAAAGAGATTCAGAGAGGTCGGCCAATTCAACCGAAACGCGGCCGCAAGAACACTCGCCTGCCCATCGAGAGCGCATAGACGTCTGCCATCGCCTGGCACTCCAGCTCTGAAAGAGGCAGGACGTGCCAAAGCACATCGCGCTGCGACAATGCACATGCCACTCCACCTTCAATCGCCTTATGCCTGAAACTGCCTTCGTGCTGGCAGGAAGCAACAGCAGCAACTAGCAACCAGTTGCACGCAGAGGCAACTAGCCTGCACTTGGGCATCCAAGGCTTGCTCGTGGACGACCTGCAGTCGGCCAGCAAACACACGTGCCCCATGCGGAGCAGATTGAAAACCTCGCTTCACGAAGGCTGAGGCTCCCTGCCGGCAATCGCTGGCGTTCCCAGCCGCGGAAGCCTCCCTCCATCCAGCACGGCCACGCGCCTTCGCGTGAACAGCCACTCGCATCAGCTCGAAGCCTGTGAGAATGAACAAATGCCGAAGGTCGGTCGGCTCAAGAAGGTAATCATACGGTACGATGCAGCCACAGTACCACAGTACTTCTTCTTTTCGCACATGCACTCCGGAAGCGCAATCCGAAAAGGCGCAGCGTGCATTGTCGGATCTGGAGCTTGAGGAATCTGGGTCGGTGCTAACCTACGTTCATGGAGTCGGCCAAAGAGCCTGCAGAGTTCCGCAGCTTACCTCTCCAAATTTCGTTACACGACACCGACACTCGTTGCAGAAAAGGCCTGAAAAAATTAATATCCAGCTGAAAACTGTGGTTTTGGAACATCACAAAAAGCAGACAACGTCTCAAATCATTCTTTCCGGCTCCAACTTGGCATGAGCCCAGAGCACCAAGACCAATTTTTCGCCAGACTTGTTTATGAGCAATCTCCGGTTTCGCTTCCGAACCATGGCAGGTTCTTTCGAACTTTCGCCAACAAATTGCCTCTGCTCAACAGCAAGCCCGGATGTCCGAACCAAAAGCCGCATTTTCAGCTCCTCTGCCAAATTTCAAATTTCCGGTCAGGAGTATTTTCAAAATAGCTTAACTGAAATTTGCCTTTGCCTCACATCAGGACCAGCCAGATTTGTTTGTATAGGATTTCCGTGCAAAACAGACGATCGTTAAGCAAGGTTTCCGGTCAGAAGTAATTACAGTTTTCGTTCCAAGAAAGGCCGAATTTCCAGCACCAAGACCAATCCTTGGCCAGCATGATCAGAACCCTAAACCCTAAACCTGCATCCGTCCAAGAATTTGCTCAGCCCGCTCCGCTACAATGCTGCCCGGATCCAAGGCAGGCACTGCCTCGCCGGCATCTGCACTGCAGGAGGTGCCTCACACAGAATGGAGTCTTCGACACCAGAGAAGGAATTGCATTTTCCACCAGGGCACAGCCACTGGAACCGTCGGCACGCAGAAGTATGAGACCTGAGCTGACGGACGAGCCAACTGCAGCCGTACAGGCATCAAACACTCGTGCACCCTCTCGGCTCTCCGCATCAGACGCCATCGCCAGAAGCGATCATTGGCCGCTACCGAATACGACTTGCGCCAAATGCTGCTTGCAAGGCCTGCGTGCGTGCCATTGCACAATGCACAGCCATGTTTAATAAGCCATGGCAAGCCAGTCTGCCAGCTCATCGGCTCTGTTTTTGAGTCACTGGCAAGCACGCCAAGTAGTCTGTTGCAGACGAATTAGCCACAATTAGCTGCAGTTCCCGGCGAGTCGCGTTGGGTTCTCTGAATGATTGGTTGAACACAGCAATGATATTTTTCCACCACGTATATAGCCAAGCCTGTGCAAATGAAAAGCATCGGAGCTGCGTGGCAGATGTGTCCATCAGAAAACGCAGCCAAAGGCGTGGAGAGAGCCTGCAAGCGGGCCATAAGCTCCGAGAGCAAGCTCTGTAGCATTGTCCATGCTGATGGGGGAAGCACTGCCAGGGACCAAAAGTATGATATGCGTGATCATCTACCGGCCTACAATACCCATGATTACGGACCTCCCACTTGAAGATCCCGCTGATATGACCGGACGCACCCTCCAAGTAAAGGAAATGATCACCACATTCCCAAACACACACACACACACACACACACACACACGCACAAGCAAACACTAATACACTACTGAGCCGATATTCACGACATGGGTTCATGAGACTCAGGACGGGACTTCGTGCCTTTTTATGCCGTTTCGCAGGACGTAGGCGGTGTGGAAGCTCCGGCACTGTCTCTTTTGCCAACGTTGGCAAACACGGTGGCTGTGGTGAGCTAAAGTATCTGTTGCAAAACCCAATCATGCCGTTGTGGCCTGCAATTCCTAGGCTCATCTTTCAAATATGGTTTGCGGTCTTTCTTCCTTAGTCAGTGCTCAGCGAGCGCATCTCTGCCGGCACGCTTCGGCAAGGGCGGTTTTCCAAAGTTGCCGATGCTGACCTGCCTGCGAAGAACCCAGGACTGCTGCGGCCTCACGCGTCAGCACCTTCCGTCTGGGCATGTCTGCCATGGCACAGCAATCGTCAATCGCACCCGAGACTCGGTCCAAGACCCAGGCCTGCCACTTGCATACCCATCGAGAGCGCGTAGTTGTCGGCGTTCGCCTGGCAGTGAGCCGGACAGGATTGACATACCCAAGCCCGTGGCATTGCAGCACTGCACATGCCACTCCACCCTCAAGATCCTCAAGCATTAAACTGTGTTTGCACTGGCGTGAGGTCTCACCACCGACTGAACAACGTGAGTGCACCGAACCTGCCCAATGGCATCCATGGCCTGCTCGTACACGACCTGCAGTCGCCAAGCTGCGACATGCATGCTGCGACACACTTGCGCAAATTACCTGAAGCATTGCATCTATGCCACGAAGGCTGAGGCTCCCCGCTGGCAATCGCTGGCGTTCCCAGCCGCGGAAGCCTCCCTCCAGCACGCCCACGCGCCTTCCCATCAACAGCCACTCGCATCAGCTCGAGGACTCCGGGGACGAGACACGCCGCTTCGTGCTCGGAGCGCATATATCGGATCTGGAGCTTCAAGGCGCTTAAAACTGCTTTCATGGCATCAACCACAGAGCTTGCAAGTTCCGCCAGCTTGACTTGCCTATCCCCAGCAGGAAGCTGTAGCTCCACGAAACATGCGAAACAAAGTAGAGCTACGGAATTTCTCCAAAGACCGAGGCCCTCGCTGAGAAGTCGGCGCCTGCTCGCGGTACCAATTGGCACACCTGCCGTGTCTTCTCGGATAATGCTGTACTGAAGCTCACTTCGACCTGCAGCCCCTCCTTTGTGAACGGTCTGCTTACAGAAACCGCACATGCTCAGACACTGTCTGTCGAAAGCTGCAACACCAGTCCCACAAAATTCGAAGGCTCCACAACATCCCACAACAGTAGACTTGGCATCCAGCTGGGGGCCGCGGTGCCAGGAATATTGGCAATGGAAGATCTCAGCAGACGGGTGGTGGTCGCATCCATTGCACAGAGATTCGAAACTGACTGCCTCTGACTGACGCATCGCCAAAGCTCCGCAGCAGCACATGCGACGAACGCACATTCTGAGCTGCTGGCCACCAGCTTCTCTTTCGAGAACTTCTCGACCAGCTCCGGCACCTCACCAGCAGATTCAACAGACAAGCTCGGTCACGAATGCTACACTCCATACGTCTGGTCCGAACACCAACTCCCTCTCTTGGCGCCCCTGCTCTGTTGAAGAAGGTACTGGTGGGCTCGTGCACCGCACCCTGGAGTCGTCAAGTGACGGGAAACACAGACTCCCTCCGGACACCCAGTGCGAAACAACAAATCCGCGACTTTTGCTCAAAAGGCCTCGATGTAACCAGACGCACGATCATCCCCACGCACGTCAATGAGCAAGCACCTCAAGGCTTCGTTGGAGTAATCTTCGCATCCGAAAGGCCTTTGCTAACTTCGCCACGGGCTGGTCGCCCAGTTCTGAGAGGCAGGCAGCCCTGCCTCGAGGAGCTTGTGCACCTGGAGGCAAGATGCTTCACAAGACGTGACAGGGTCAACGAACAGGCGCCAGCACTCCTGTCTGTCGCCCTGCTGCGAACTATCCTAGTCCTACCGATGGGAGCTCTCCAAATGCGCCTCCTCAGCTGAGAGCTTCTCGACGCCCTTCAAAGACATACACGCAACATGAAGAGCATCCGTCGAACAGCTGTTGCATCCTGATCGTGTCCGTCCTTCTGCAAGGGCACTTCGAGATTTGGCCCCACCAAGCCGGCACAAGCCGTTGGCCTGTGCACAGGTCGGCTCTGCCCACCGTGGTTTGCGGTCAGAAAAACGCTCGAGCCGCATCAAGGCCAAAATCAACATTTTGTCACTGGCCACGGCCACACAGAGCTCACACGTTGAAGTTCGAATCTCTGACAATTTGTTTCATGCCGTTTATAACTGCTTGAGCGCAACGCAAACACTGCAAGCTGCATGTACCGTTTTGAACTCAGTTCTATCGGCCTACCAGGTAAGTTCAAGGAAGCACAAGCGCGGGAACAACTTTGGGCAACTGCCTACGAAGGCAAAAATCAGCTTCAAACAAATCAAAAGATTCGACCGGCGATATGTAAAGGTAAACTTTGCATCCTTCTTGGGCTCGCATGCACATTGGGCCGCTTTAAGAAGGATTCCTATCGTCGCCGGCTTTTCCGACTGCAAAGCCGGTGCAAAGCACTCGAGGCGAAGCCGTGACCGAAACCTAGCTGGCCGACCAGCCATCGACGGTTCCTGACCGTCGGGTCTCTTTCGCTCGCACTGAAGGTTGGTTCCACGTCACCCAGGACCCAGGGCGGCTTTGCAGCCGGCAAAAAGACGATTGCGGACAGAAACAGGATCGCATTCCGTGGAGCCATTGCAGCATCCGTGCACAAACGTCAGCAAGTTGCCTGTTGTAAACAACGCTGCCTTTTCGTCATCGTTTGTGAGTACCCACCAAGCGGTGAAAAGGCCCCAGACTTTGCACCCGGCCACTTCCCTCAACGCACTTCTTGGACCCAGCCGTTTTCCATCCCTTTCTGCCACTGCTTATCCACTTCTGCCACTTCTCATCCGCCGCCTTTCGGAAGTCTTCTCGCCGAAACTGTCGCTGTTCCTCATCGAGTTGGCTCCAGGTAGATCTCCTTCCTGGCCGGGTGCCAGCCAAGCGCTCACGCTGCGCTTCGCTGGGCATCAGCCAGTGGCCATCCCGAAGCACACGTCTTGGCAGCAGCACTGACTCACGGCCTCAGGTGCATTCTCCACCGTGAGGCTCGTCGACGTCACAGAAACTCTTGAAATATTATTCCATACAGGCTCAAAAAACGTAAGTCGCGAGTGTGAGGCTCCGCGACGATTGGCTCGGCATCACCACCACCGAACCTCATGCACCGGAGTGGGCCATCTGTCACCTCGTTCAGCACGGCCTGCAGGCGCGGGCCCCAGTCAGTTGCCGCCAACCGCTCGATGGCTGACACTTTCCGACGCTGTTCAATGGCCGGCTTGGCCACGTTCCCGGTAGAACACAAAGGAGCATGCCAAGCCTTGAGTTGAGCTTCTTCCCGGGCTTTTTAAGTACTCCATAGTGAGCGGCCCGGGAAGCTAGAACTTGGAATTGTCTAATCGGGACGGCCTCTCTGCACTACGGCTTCTTCCTCTTAAGAGGCCACCAACTTTGCGATGATCGTCCAGACGGAGCACAAAGAGGAGCACGATGACCAGGACTTTCGCCAGCAAGATGGTGTGCCATTTTTATGATTGCGTGCTGCATGTGCAAGAGCGGGAGCCTCGACCAAACCAGCATTGCGCAGCTACTGGTCCAGGCGTCGAGGAAGCCGTTTCTGTCGTCGCGGCGGGCGCAAGCAGCACCTACAATGATGATTCCAACGATTCGGGCTATCCGCCGGCCCGAACCGTCTTCGGATGCCAACCTAAGAGCTTTGCTGAATGTTTGGACTGCGCCCTGGCTATCTGGGAGACGGCACATGCGGCCATGATTCGCCTACACTAGTCAATCGTCACTAACTAGTCCCAGGCGACGAGCAAGGCATTGCGGGTCGGCGAAACGCTTGCTGAAAGCGATATAGACCTCGCCAAAAGTGATTGAAGCAGGGCCACATCGGTAATCCCGCTATTCTGAGGCAGCCCGCGGCGGTGGTACAAGCCCAAGTGGCGCTGGTGGCGAAGACGAAGTGGCACTGTCCGGGCAGGCCGTCGTGGTCGTCGATGTCGGTGCTGTGAGGTAGATTCGGAAGCAACGTTTCAAGGCGCTTAAGAGGCACAGGCACGCCTCCGAGAAAGAGCCGGGGAGCCGGACATTCCAGGTTCGCAGTGCCGACCGCACCTCCAACTGCCGCAACAACGGCCGGATGTTGGTCCACTCGGCCTTGTCGCCACAAGCCACATGCTGATTTGCACCGCATCGGCTGACCCGATGACGGGGGCAGCTTTCTGCGCCGAATCTTCGACACGAAGTTCGGAGCTTGAGTGCATTGACCCTGGTCCGGCGCTCCTCCAAAAAAGGTTCGCCGTTCACTTCAAATTTCCGGCCTCGATGTCGTGGGAGCTCAGCTTGCTTGCGGCCAGAGAAAGTCTCGGTATCCATCTGGAGAAACGGCGTCGGCGTCCCCCGCCTTCGTCTAGGCCTTCGGCAACCATGCTCGCATAGACCTGGTACTCATAGCTGCCCTCGCCCATGTAGGCAGACAGGTCATCTTCAATTCCGCCCAGGCGTTGGCTATGACTTTCCCAGGCCAGGCTTGCTTCATCCCAGCCGTCGGTGTACTCCTCTTCGCCAAGCGCCGCCTGGTAACCATAGCCCATAGAGGGACCGGTTCTTCCCGTCGCCGCAGCCGCGCTTCTACTTCAGAGCAGATTCAGATGCTGTGCCACCAAGTCTTCACAGACCTTGGCCGTCCTTGCCGATCACCGTCTTTATCATGAGCACCTGGTCGTTGGTGAGGCGGGCGTTCTGCAGCACTTGCTCCGACAGCATCACTTCCGGCAACATGACCAGATGCTCCACCGCCTGCGACGGCGAAGCGCGTGCATCGCCATCGCCTCTCCGACCTGTCGGCTCAAAGGGCCATTCCCTCGAGCGCCTGCACTGCAAAGCCCTCGACCTTTCTTGTTGTCGGCTGGGTTGGGTCCCGCCAGAGGGTCTCTGCAGTGGGTTTTCTCACGATGTGCAGGGCGGGCCCTCTCAACCTTCCGCCAGTCTCTTCCCAAGCGGCCCCATCTTCTTGATCTCCGCACTCTTCTTCAGCTCCCGCATCTACACACTGCACGCGTTGGCCGGGAACTGGTGCACATTCCCATCGTAGCCGGGAATGCCGCACTTTCTCTCTGTAGGTTCGGTATCTGCAACCTCCACGAAGTTGCCCCAAACTAAGCCCTCCGGCAAAGCCATCACGGCGGCACGCGAAAAAGGCCCCGGCCTTAGGCACTAAGGCTGCCTAGGGACCGTATGTTATGAAAACGGCGCAGTCAAATGGCTATGGCTCGAACCGCAAGGCAGCCGACCCCACCTTCGTACCGGCCGCGACCAAGTAAGCTCAAGGGCCCTTGTGCCCCAGGGTGAACCACGAACGCGGCAATACCCTTGGGCAACTACGAAGGCCAAAGTCAGCTTTCACGTTTGCACCCTGACGCAGTGGTATCGTTCCCAACTCGGGCGGGCTTCATGACGACGGACAGAAGATCATCAACAAGTTAAGTGGTCAGTGGGCCTCTATCGCAATCGTTAGCATCTTTCTCCCTCTTCTGAGCGACTGTCATGGAGCATGGAGATCGAGACGGGCCTAGGTGCAGACTCGACGGTCTCAGTTGTCGTCGTCGGCGTAGTCGTCTGCACCTTGACATCACGGACGGAGGATGGGAAGAAAGGAGAGCCGAGAAGGACCGGCACTGCCTCCTTTAAACTAAACTGGATGGATCTTCTCAGGTCCTGGCCCCGTCAACCGGCTTCGGGCCCTCAACCGGCTTAGGGCAGTCCTCTGTCTTCGGGAAAGGTACCCATGACCTGCTTCGACTTTAAAGGCAGATTGAGGCATCTGGCTGAATTGGTGCTTGAGTCGTAGCTGGCACAAGACAAATCATGGTGACAAGGTTGAGATGGGTTGAGCTGCGAGCGTGGTGGCAGCAACCACGGGTCGCGCCAAGGGCACATTGGCCTCAGCTTTCGACGCTCCGCTCCACTGTAAGCCCAGCGTTGGCAGCGAACTGTCACGCTACGTTGTAGTCTGCACCTCGCCATCGCAAAGAGTGTGGAAAATGAAAGCCGTGACAACGCGCCAGCGCACAAGAGAAGAACCCGCACTGTCTCCTTCAAACTCCACTGGATGGATCTTCTCAGGTTCTGGCCATGGAGGCGTGCAGACGCTCCTGACAGGCTTGCATGTCAAGTCAAGACAAGGAAGTCACTCCGGAAGCAGATGGAAGCAGAAATCGGGGACGAACCAGTCTCGTCAACCGGCTTAGGGCAGTCCTCTGTCTGCGGCTGCGGGAAAGGTACCCATGACCTGCGTCGACGCAGATTGAGACATCTGGCTGAGTGGGTGCTTGAGTCGTAGCTGGCACAAGACAAATCATGGTGACAAGGTTGAGATGGGTTGAGCTGCGAGCGTGGTGGCAGCAACCACGGGTCGCGCCAAGGGCACATTGGCCTCAGCTTTCGACGCTCCGCTCCACTGTAAGCCCAGCGTTGGCAGCGAACTGTCACGCTACGTTGTAGTCTGCACCTCGCCATCGCAAAGAGTGTGGAAAATGAAAGCCGTGACAACGCGCCAGCGCACAAGAGAAGAACCCGCACTGTCTCCTTCAAACTCCACTGGATGGATCTTCTCAGGTTCTGACCATGGAGGCGTGCACACGCTCCTGACAGGCTTGCTTGTGGAAGCCGCTTGAAGCTGAAATCGGAAACGAACCAATCGTGTCAACCGGCACCGGGCTGTCCTGCGTCTGCGGGAAAGGTACCCATGACCTGCTTCGACTTTAAAGGCAGATTGAGGCATCTGGCTGAATCGGTGTTTGAGTCGCAGCTGGCCCAAGACAGAACTCTGGGACAACGTTGAGACAGGTTGAGCGGCCAACCTGGTGGCCGCAACCACTGGTCGTGCCAAGGGCACATTAGCCTCAGCTTTCGGCGCTCAGTTCCACTGTAAGCTCAGCATTGGCAGCAAACTGTCATATTACATAGCCTAGTGCGCGCTTGCCGTATCTGAGATCCACGCAGCCTGCTGGTGAGGAAGGCGAAACATTTGACTGTCAGGTCCAGCGGTGCAATCAATGACGACCACACGACGACAATGGCTATGGCGATGACGATCATGATTGCACAAAGCATCATACAATCGTGATGATGATACGTTTTGACTTCTTGCACTCCTCGGTGATATCAGAGTCCAGGCACACTGCACCGTACTGACGGAGGGGACGGAGCAGCAGGGTGTAATACACGAAGTACGAATGCAACGATGCTGCCATCAACATGTACCCACAGAACGTGATGCCGAGGGTTTTCCAAACTTCCCAAATACCGTAAGATGCACAGAGATCAAGCCAGTCCTGGGCGCAGACACCACCGGCTGGGTCGTCCACTGCACCTCGAAAAACGCGGAGGATGGGAGGACAACGCGTCAGCAGAGCCAAAGACCGGCACTGGCTCCGTTAAGCGGATCTTCTCAGTTCCTGGCCATGGGGGCGTGGGCGTGCTCCTGAGGAACGCACTGGGCAAGCAGCTGGAAGCAGGCAACGCAGACAACAGTAGGTAGGGCAGTCCATCTTCGGCGGGACAGGTGCCAGCGGCCTGCTTCAAAGTCAAACAGATCAGAATCTGTCACAGTGTTCGAATGATGGCTACCACACAGGCAATGTTATGGCATGTCATGACAAGACATGTCCAATGCAAGAGCATGACAAATCGGGCTTGCACCCTTCTCGACAAAGCAATTCATTCCTCAGCCGAGAGTTTGCCGAGGCACTGTGCCACAGGGGTAAGCTGCGGGGCCACTGGTCGCGCCAGGGGCACGTTAACCTCAGATTTCAGCTCTCAGCTCAATGGTATCATGAGCAGCTACCCGTCAGGCTGCACGTCCGCACATCAGCCGCGCCAGAATGCCAGCAAACTTGCACGCTCTCTGGGGCATGCACAGGCTGGGCCGGAAAATGGGGCCAGAAGGACTGACCAAGATGCACGGGCAAGATTTTCAGAGTGGGCTGTCAAAACATGCCCGCTAGGAGCACCAGCTCAAAGCCAGCCAGGTGGGCCGTGTAGGGCGCCGGTGTCGGCGGCACAACAGTGAGAGGCATGACATAGATCCTTGCTCAACCCTCACTCGCAAAAACTGCGACATCTCCCACAAGTCGACTCCGCGAGATTTCTGCCCTGGCCCGAGGCAAGCACTGCCTCATAGGCATGGTCATGACAGCCGGCGCCTCCCACACGACGGAGAAGAAGCGAAAGAGGAGAAGCGAGACTGGCAAGGCCCTTCAGCCCGGCAGGGGAGGAGGAGGTCCCGATGCTTCATGAATCATCCGTTGCACCAAGGCACGGCCATCGGCGCCGTGGGCGCGTAGTAGTATGGAACCTCAGCGCACATTCTTGAGCATGCCGCAGGCATTCGTTCTCCTAGCACTTGGTGCAACATCAGCCGGTCTGGGCCCTTCACGTTGCGAGCCATTGCTACCAGATCTAGTTAAGGCTAAGCAATGCTTCTGCAGTTCGCATTGCTTTCCAGCTGTTTGACGTGGATGTGTGGGGCGCCCAGATCTGTTCGCACCCTCGTCGGTATGGATCATGCGGAATGCCATGTTCTGAGGAGCACAGTGGCAACTCGGCAAACGACGCTCCACTTCTGGAACTAGACTAGATTGCCCCAAGCCTCTTTACCATGGCACGCCCTCAACGTTCCGGTTCACCTCCCCCTAAGTCAGACTCGTGCTAGCACTGAAATTATCGGAGCAAGGGCCGCTCTCGATCACACAGCTCGGCAGCTGTGGAAACGCTTCCATCAGAATGCACGAAGTGGGCCGGCGTCCTGGCCAGAAGCTTCGAGATCTCTTCCAGTATCCACGGACCATCCACCGGCCTGCCGATGATTAACGACCTCCCCCTTGAAGATCCCGTTTACTCGAAGGGACCACCGAAACGGCACAATGGGAAACAAGTTGACGCCCAGTTCCACAAAGTGCCACAGCATGTTGAATCGCCACTCGCACGGGATCGCGAAACTCGAAACGGGAGCTGATGCCGCTTAACGTCGCAGGTGGGTACCATTAGAGACTGGGCCAACCGCCCGTCAGAACCACTCCTTTCGGCTCGTTTTCCTTCGCGGCGGGATAGTCGAGTTCTCGGAGAACCCAGCGTTCTTCACCGGCAGCAAGTAAACAGCCCGCCCCAGCAAGTTCGCCCTTGGGAATGCTGCTAGACACTGCCACTGTCAAGACTACACCTCACATCCGACTTGCCACATCTGATCTGCTACCGCGGGCTCTGGCTTGGGGTAAGAAAAATGAGCGGAAGGCTCAGAAAGGCTGCAAGCATCTCTTTCAAGAACCAATGATGCCGCAGCATAGATGGGACTATTCGATGACCAATGCCCAGCGCGATTCGCCGGGCAGTGCAGCCGTCTTGAGCAACTGATGTCCGCTTGGCCACATCTCAGCCACCAGCACTGGCAAATTCTTCAATCCATCTACAAGTAATAGGAACGCAGGACTGCTGCGGCCTCACGCCCCAGCACCTGCCATCTGGGCACGAAACATGTCGAAGCACCGCGAGCCCATCAAAGATTGTCCAATAGAACCGAGACGAAGCCTTGCCTGCCACACCCCTGCCCATCGAGAGCGCGTAGACGTCTGCCTTCGCCTGGCCGTCTGGCTTCCAAAACAGCCGGACATGCCAAAGAGCATCGCACTGCAGCAATGCCCATGCATGTGCATGCCACTCCAGCTTCAACATCCTCAAGCCTTCAACTGTGTTTGTGCTGGCATGATGAAACAGCATCGACCTGTCGCAGATGGGTGCACCAGGCCTGCCCATGGGCATCCATCGCCTTCTCGCGGACCACCTGCAGTCGGCCAGCGCACAGATTGACATGTCCGATTCTATGCAGAACACACTGAAAATCCGGGCCGACAATCAAGAAATCCTGAAGCTTCAGCTCTCTGCAACATGCTGCGACGCCTACTGCGACATACCACGTGCATATATGCTCCCTGAAGCAACACGGCACCCTTCCATCCACGAAAGCTGAGGCTCCCTGCCGAAAGACGCTGTCCTTCCCAGCCGCGGAAGCCTCCCTCGAGGACGGCCACGCGCCTTCCGGTGAGCAGCCACTCGCATCAGGTCGAGAACTCCGAGGACGAGCAATGCTAATCGTACGATACGATGCTGCGACGGGCAACATGCTTCCTTCTTTCCTCAACCACGACCGTGCAGTCTCCGGAAGCGCGGATCTGAAGCTTCAGGACTTTGGGACCCTACTAAACTACGTTCATCGGGTCAGCCGAAGAGGCTGCAAAGTTCCGCCAGCTCGCCTTTCCTAGTTTCGTAACACGACACCGTCACTCGTTGTAGAAAAAGCCTGACACAAATTATTGACGGCGTGCTGACGGTGCACTGCATGACTGCGAAACTGCGCAGCTTGCACAGGCATGTTCAACGGAGTCACCCCTGCAGGAAGCCAGCACCACAAAACGTGTGAAGGAAAGGACAGCTGCGAAATTCATCCGGAGACCGAGTCCCCAGCTGTGTCGGAGGTGCCTGCTCGCGATACCAGTTCGCGCACCTGCCGTGTCTGCTAAGATCGGCTATCCTGAAACTCGCTTCAACCTGCGGCCACTCCAACAGCCCTCCAGTGACTGCAGTGTGAACGGTCTACGTACAGAAGCCACACATGCCCAGACACTTGACAAACACGTCCTTCGAAAGCTACGACACCAGTCCCACAAAAATCGAAGGCTCCAGACCAGCCCATAACAGTCGACTTGGCTTCCCGCTGAGGGCCACGGTGCAGGGAATATTGGCAATGGAAGATCTCAGCAGACGGGCGGTGGTCGCATCCAGTGCACATAGATTCGGAAGGGACTGCCACAGACGAACCGCCAAAGCTCTGCAGCGCCACATGCGACAAGCACGGACCTGAGCTGCTGGCCACGAGCTTCTCCTTGGAGAATTTGGCCACCAGCTCCGGCACCTCACTAGCAGATTCAACAGACAAGCTCGGTCACGAATTCTACACCCCATGCTTCCGGTCGGAGCACCCACTCCCTCTCTTGGCGGCCCCGCCCGATTCAAAAGGGGTGCCTGGAAGCTGGTGGGCTCGTGCACCGAGCCCTGGAGCCGTCGAGGGACGAGACACACGGACTCCCTCCAGACACCCGGTGCGAAACAACAAATCCGCGATTCTTGCTGACAAGGCCTCGATGTGGCCAGAGGCACGATCATCCCCGCGCACGTCAATGAGCAAGCACCTCAAGGCTTCGTTGGAGTAATCTTCGCATCCGAAAGGCCTTTGCTAACTTCGCCACGGGCTGGTCGCCCAGTTCTGAGAGGCAGGCAGCCCTGCCTCGAGGAGCTTGTGCACCTGGAGGCAAGATGCTTCACAAGACGTGACAGGGTCAACGAACAGGCGCCAGCACTCCTGTCTGTCGCTCTGCTGTTGCAAAGACACAACTTGACAACGGGTACTGTCCTAGTACTACCAGTGGCAGCTCTCCAGGTGTGCCTCCTCAGCTGAGATCTTCTCGACGCCCTTGCACAGACATACACATAACGTGAAGAGTATGCTTCAACCAGCTTTTGCACCATGGTCGTGGCCGTCCTTCTGAAGTGGCACTTCGAGATTCGGCCCCACCAAACCGGCGCAAGCCGCTGGCCTGTGTACAGGTTGGTTCTGTCCGCAAGACGCTCGAGCCGCATCCAGGATAGAAATCCACATCTTGTCACTGGCAAAGGCCTCGAAGAGCTGAGACGTTGAAGTGCTAAGTTCGAAAAATTAATGTCCAATCTTTACGCCACTTGCAACTGCTTGAGCGCGTGTGTACGCGCAGTGCGAACCCTGAATGTGGCTTTCAGGTCGCCTGTGCCATGTTCACTCCGATCCTGTTGAACTCAGTCAGCGTCTGATGCCATTCGGCGCCGCCCTCTGCTGGTGGTCGCAAGCGAGTCTCGTAGTCCAGATGCTCCAATTCGTTCTTGCCCGGAGCATCCGGAGCGTCCGTGTGTTTTGCATTGCTGATGCAGTGGCAGCGATCCCAACTTGGGCTTCATGACAACCGCCTGCAGGTCATCAATCATTTACGTGCTCAGCGGGCCTCTCCTTCGCAGTCGCTAGCATCTTTATTCTCAGCGACTGTCATGGAGCATGGAGATCGAGACAGGCCTGGGTGCAGACGCGAAGGTCTTTGTCGTCGCCTGCACCTCGACATCTAGAATGAGGAACATGAAAGCCGCGACACAACCCGCCAGCACAGCCGAGGAGGACCGGCACTGCCTCCTTCAAACTCCGATGGATGATGGATGTTCTCGGGTCCTGGCCATGGAGGTGTGCACAGGGTCCTGGCAGGCTTGCTTGTGGCGTCAACTCCGGCATTTGGCCTGACATTCCAGACTCAGTTCGCTTTTATGGCTTGTGGCCCGAACTACCCTTATGCAGACTTGTACTAGGTCATCTTGATGGTATAGGTTTTCCGTAGAGTGTTCAACGAGACTCCTGTTGCGCTTATCACTGACGGTTCTTGTCTTCATCCCAAGTTTCCGTTAACTCGGTTAGCGGCTCAGCGGTGAATTTAGCGAAGGATCCTGGGATCATGAAGTAGTTTGGAGGGGCATTTTGTGCCGTCAGATGATCAATATGTTGATCGTGCTGAGATTCTGGCTGCTGCTGTTGCATGTTCCGCATTTCGACGGGCCAGCATTTATCCCAACTCTAAATATGTAGTTCAGGTGGCTTGTGCCATCCTTCAACAGCTCAGGCAGGGTGTAAATCCCCAGCTGCCTCAAACAAACTTGGACTGCTGGCTGTTTTGTCTTAAATGCTGTTCTCGGGGCTGATGTGCAGAATTTTCATATCGTAAGGGTCAAAGCTCATCAGGATTGGAAGCAACTTCAGGGAGTTGAGCGGTGTCTTGTGTGGTATAACGGGATAGTTGATATGGTTGCTAAGTCTACAGCTCGTCAGATTAGTCAGGTTCTTCCGGGCTACTCCCAGCTGGTACAAAGTTTCTTTCAGTTGCAACAGGATGCTGAAGAAATTATGCGTGATCATGCTGACATTGCGTGGTGCGCAGCTCATGATTGCAAGCCTGAGGAGCAAGAATGAAGCGAACCGATCGTGCCAACCGGCATAGGGCAGTCCTTCGTCGGAGGCCCAGGCACAAAGCTCCTGCTTCGACTTCAAAGACAGATTAAGGCATGGGCTTCCGACTCTCTGCAGCCAGTCCTGGGCGCGGACACGACGGTCTTCGTCGCTGTCTGCACCTCGACGTCGTCAAGGATGGGAGGACAAAGCGTCAGCGCAGCTGAGGAAGCCGGGCACTGACTCCGTCAACCGGATCTTCTCAGTTCCCGGCCCTGGAGGCATAGATGCACTCCTGAGGACCGCACTGAGGAAGCAGCTGGAAGCAAGCAACATAGACAACATGGGCAGGGCGGTCCATCTTTGGCGGGCCAGCGGGCAACGTCCTGCTTCAAGTTTGAATACATCCGAATCAGATCTGGCAGAGCTTTCGAATGAAAATGAGGCAATATTATGGCATGGCATGTGTGCATGTCATGACTGCATACGTCCAACGCGACAGCATGACAAAAGCCGGGCAAGCACCCTATTCCAGAGGGGACGGAGCATCAGGGTGTAATACAAGAAGTACGAATGCAACGATGCTGCCATCAACATGTACCCACAGAACGTGATGCCGAGGGTTTTCAAGTCATAGCTGCGTGGGCGATGTTAAACTTCCCAAACACCGTAAGATGCACAGAGATCAAGCCAGTCCTGGGCGCAGACACCACCGGCTGGGTCGTCCACTGCACCTCGAAAAACGGGGAGGATGGGAGGACAACGCGTCAGCAGAGCCAAAGACCGGCACTGGCTCCGTTAAGCGGATCTTCTCAGTTCCTGGCCATGGGGGCGTGGGCGTGCTCCTGAGGAACGCACTGGGCAAGCAGCTGGAAGCAGGCAACGCAGACAACAGTAGGTAGGGCAGTCCATCTTCGGCGGGCCAGGTGCCAGCGGCCTGCTTCTCAGTCAAACAGATCAGAATCTGTCACAGTGTTCGAATGATGGCTACCACCCAGGCAATGTTATGGCACGTCATGACAAGACATGTCCAATGCAAGAGCATGACAAATCGGGCTTGCACCCTTCTCGACAAAGCAATTCATTCCTCAGCCGAGAGTTTGCCGAGGCACTGTGCCACAGGGGTAAGCTGCGGGGCCACTGGTCGCGCTAGGGGCACGTTAACCTCAGATTTCAGCTCTCAGCTCAATGGTATCATGAGCAGCTACCCGTCAGGCTGCACGTCCGCACATCAGCCGCGCCAGAATGCCAGCAAACTTGCACGCTCTCTGGGGCATGCACAGGCTGGGCCGGAAAATGGGGCCAGAAGGACTGACCAAGATGCACGAACAAGATTTTAAGAGTCCGCTGTCAAAACATGCCCGCTAGGAGCATCAGCTCAAAGCCAGCCAGGTGGGCCGTGTAGGGCGCTGGTGTCGGCGGCACAACAGTGCGAGGCACGACATAGATCCTTGCGCAACCCTCACTCGCCAAAACTGCGACATCTCCCACAAGTCGACTCCGCGAGATTTCTGCCCTGGCCCGAGGCAAGCACTGCCTCATAGGCATGGTCATGACAGCCGGCGCCTCCCACACGACGGAGAAGAAGCGAAAGAGGAGAAGCGAGACTGGCAAGGCCCTTCAGCCCGGCAGGGGAGGAGGAGGTCCCGATGCTTCATGAATCATCCGTTGCACCAAGGCACGGCCATCGGCGCCGTGGGCGCGTAGTAGTATGGAACCTCAGCGCACATTCTTGAGCATGCCGCAGGCATTTGTTCTCCTAGCACTTGGTGCAACATCAGCCGGTCTGGGCCCTTCACGTTGCGAGCCATTGCTACCACGTCTAGTTAAGGCTAAGCAATGCTTCTTCCTGCAGTTCGCATTGCTTTCCAGCTGTTTGACGTGGATGTGCGGCGCCCAGATCTGTTCGCACCCTCGTCGATATGGATCATGCGGAATGCCATGTTCTGAGGAGCACAGCGGCAACTCGGCAAACGACACCCGGCTTCTGGAACTAGACTAGATTGCCCCAAGCCTCTTTACCATGGCACGCCCTCCACGTTCCGGTTCACCTCCCCCTAAGTCAGACTCGTGCTAGCACTGAAATTATCGGAGCAAGGGCCGCTCTCGATCACGCAGCTCGGCAGCTGTGCAAACGCTTCCATCAGAATGCACGAAGTGGGCCGGCGTCCTGGCCAGAAGCTCCGAGAGATATCTCTTCCATTCTCCAGCTCATGCACGGACCATCCACCGGCCTGCAAAGCCGATGATTAACGACCTCCCCCTTGAAGATCCCGTTTACTCGAAGGAACCACTGAAACGGCACAATGGGAAACAGGTTGACACCCAGTTCCACAAAGTGCCACAGCATGTTGAATCGCCACTCGCACGGGATCGCGAAACTCGAAACGGGACCTTATGCCGCTTAACGTCGCAGGTGGGTACCATTAGAGACTGGGCCAACCGCCCGTCAGAACCACTCCTTTCGGCTTGTTTTCCTTCGCAGCGGGATAGTCGAGTTCTCGGAGAACCCAGCGTTCTTCACCGGCAATAGCAAGTAAACAGCCCGCCCCAGCAAGTTCGCCCTTGGGAATGCTGCTTGACACTGCCAATGTCAAAACTACACCTCACATCCGACTTGCCACATCTGATCTGCTACCCCGGGCTCTGGCTAGGGGTAAGAAAAAATGAGCGTAAGGCTCAGAAAGGCTGCAAGCAATCTCTTTCAAGAACCACTGATGCCGCAGCCTAGATGGGACTATTCGATGACCAATGCCCAGCGCGATTGGCCGGGCAGTGCAACCGTCTTGAGCAACTGATGTCCGCTTGGCCACATCTCAGCCACCAGCACTGGCAAATTCTTCAATCCGTCTACAAGTAATAGGAACGCAGGACTGCTGCAGCCTCACGCCCCAGCACCTGCCATCTGGGCACGAAACATGTCGAAGCACCGCGAGCCCATCAAAGTAAGATTGTCCAATAGAACCGCAACGAAGCCTTGCCTGCCACACGCCTGCCCATCGAGAGCGCGTACAGGTCTGCCTTCGCCTGGCGGTCTGGCTCCGAAACAGGCCGGATATGCTAAAGAGCGTCGCACGACAGCAATGCCCATGCATGTGCATGCCACTCCAGCTTCAACACCCTCAAGCCTTCGACATCCTGCAACTGTGTTTGTGCTGGCATGATGAAAAAGCATCGACCTGTCGCAGATGGGTGCACCAGGCCTGCCCATGGGCATCCATTGCCTTCTCGCGGACCACCTGCAGTCGGCCAGCGCACAGGTCCACATGTCCGATTCTATGCAGAACACACTGAAAAACTCGGGCCGGCAATCAAGAAATCCTGAAGCTTCAGCTCTCTGCAACATGCTGCGACGCCTACTGCGACATACCACGTGCATATATGCTCCCTGAAGCAACACGGCACCCTTCCATCCACGAAAGCTGAGGCTCCCTGCCGAAAGACGCTGTCCTTCCCAGCCGCGGAAGCCTCCCTCGAGGACGGCCACGCGCCTTCCGGTGAGCAGCCACTCGCATCAGGTCGAGAACTCCGAGGACGAGCAATGCTAATCGTACGATACGATGCTGCGACGGGCAACATGCTTCCTTCTTTCCTCAACCACGACCGTGCAGTCTCCGGAAGCGCGGATCTGAAGCTTCAGGACTTTGGGACCCTACTAAACTACGTTCATCGGGTCAGCCGAAGAGGCTGCAAAGTTCCGCCAGCTCGCCTTTCCTAGTTTCGTAACACGACACCGTCACTCGTTGTAGAAAAAGCCTGACACAAATTATTGACGGCGTGCTGACGGTGCACTGCATGACTGCGAAACTGCGCAGCTTGCACAGGCATGTTCAACGGAGTCACCCCTGCAGGAAGCCAGCACCACAAAACGTGTGAAGGAAAGGACAGCTGCGAAATTCATCCGGAGACCGAGTCCCCAGCTGTGTCGGAGGTGCCTGCTCGCGATACCAGTTCGCGCACCTGCCGTGTCTGCTAAGATCGGCTATCCTGAAACTCGCTTCAACCTGCGGCCACTCCAACAGCCCTCCAGTGTGAACGGTCTACGTACAGAAGCCACACATGCCCAGACACTTGACAAACACGTCCTTCGAAAGCTACGACACCAGTCCCACAAAAATCGAAGGCTCCAGACCAGCCCATAACAGTGGACTTGGCTTCCCGCTGAGGGCCACGGTGCAGGGAATATTGGCAATGGAAGATCTCAGCAGACGGGCGGTGGTCGCATCCAGTGCACATAGATTCGGAAGGGACTGCCACAGACGAATCGCCAAAGCTCTGCAGCGCCACATGCGACAAGCACGGACCTGAGCTGCTGGCCACGAGCTTCTCCTTGGAGAATTTGGCCACCAGCTCCGGCACCTCACTAGCAGATTCAACAGACAAGCTCGGTCACGAATTCTACACCCCATGCTTCCGGTCGGAGCACCCACTCCCTCTCTTGGCGGCCCCGCCCGATTCAAAAGGGGTGCCTGGAAGCTGGTGGGCTCGTGCACCGAGCCCTGGAGCCGTCGAGGGACGAGACACACGGACTCCCTCCAGACACCCGGTGCGAAACAACAAATCCGCGATTCTTGCTGACAAGGCCTCGATGTGGCCAGAGGCACGATCATCCCCGCGCACGTCAATGAGCAAGCACCTCGGTGCTTCGTTGGAGTAATCTTCGCATCCGAAAGGCCTTTGCTAACTTCGCCACGGGCTGGTCGCCCAGTTCTGAGAGGCAGGCAGCCCTGCCTCGAGGAGCTTGTGCACCTGGAGGCAAGATGCTTCACAACGTGACAGGGTCAACGAACAGGCGCCAGCACTCCTGTCTGTCGCCCGGCTGTTGCAAAGACACAACTTGACAACGGGTACTTTCCTAGTACTTCCAGTGGCAGCTCTGCAAGTGTGCCTCCTCAGCTGAGATCTTCTCGACGCCCTTGCACAGACATACACATAACGTGAAGAGTATGCTTCAACCAGCTTTTGCACCATGGTCGTGGCCGTCCTTCTGAAGTGGCACTTCGAGATTCGGCCCCACCAAACCGGCGCAAGCCGCTGGCCTGTGTACAGGTTGGTTCTGTCCGCAAGACGCTCGAGCCGCATCCAGGATAGAAATCCACATCTTGTCACTGGCAAAGGCCTCGAAGAGCTGAGACGTTGAAGTGCTAAGTTCGAAAAATTAATGTCCAATCTTTACGCCACTTGCAACTGCTTGAGCGCGTGTGTACGCGCAGTGCGAACCCTGAATGTGGCTTTCAGGTCGCCTGTGCCATGTTCACTCCGATCCTGTTGAACTCAGTCAGCGTCTGATGCCATTCGGCGCCGCCCTCTGCTGGTGGTCGCAAGCGAGTCTCGTAGTCCAGATGCTCCAATTCGTTCTTGCCCGGAGCATCCGGAGCGTCCGTGTGTTTTGCATTGCTGATGCAGTGGCAGCGATCCCAACTTGGGCTTCATGACAACCGCCTGCAGGTCATCAATCATTTACGTGCTCAGCGGGCCTCTCCTTCGCAGTCGCTAGCATCTTTATTCTCAGCGACTGTCATGGAGCATGGAGATCGAGACAGGCCTGGGTGCAGACGCGAAGGTCTTTGTCGTCGCCTGCACCTCGACATCTAGAATGAGGAAAATGAAAGCCGCGACACAACCCGCCAGCACAGCCGAGGAGGACCGGCACTGCCTCCTTCAAACTCCGATGGATGATGGATGTTCTCGGGTCCTGGCCATGGAGGTGTGCACAGGGTCCTGGCAGGCTTGCTTGTGGCGTCAACTCCGGCATTTGGCCTGACATTCCAGACTCAGGTCGCTTTTATGGCTTGTGGCCCGAACTACCCTTATGCAGACTTGTACTAGGTCATCTTGATGGTATAGGCTTTCCGTAGAGTGTTCAACGAGACTCCTGTTGCGCTTTTCACTGACGGTTCTTGTCTTCATCCCAAGTTTCCGTTAACTCGGTTAGCGGCTCGGCGGTGAATTTAGCGAAGGATCCTGGGATCATGAAGTAGTTTGGAGGGGCATTTTGTGCCGTCAGATGATCAATATGTTGATCGTGCTGAGATTCTGGCTGCTGCTGTTGCATGTTCCGCATTTCGACGGGCCAGCATTTATCCCAACTCTAAATATGTAGTTCAGGTGGCTTGTGCCATCCTTCAACAGCTCAGGCAGGGTGTAAATGCCCAGCTGCCTCAAACAAACTTGGACTGCTGGCTGTTTTGTCTTAAATGCTGTTCTCGGGGCTGATGTGCAGAATTTTCATATCGTAAGGGTCAAAGCTCATCAGGATTGGAAGCAACTTCAGGGAGTTGAGCGGTGTCTTGTGTGGTATAACGGGATAGTTGATATGGTTGCTAAGTCTACAGCTCGTCAGATTAGTCAGGTTCTTCCGGGCTACTCCCAGCTGGTACAAAGTTTCTTTCAGTTGCAACAGGATGCTGAAGAAATTATGCGTGATCATGCTGACATTGCGTGGTGCGCAGTTCATGATTGCAAGCCTGAGGAGCAAGAATGAAGCGAACCGATCGTGCCAACCGGCATAGGGCAGTCCTTCGTCGGAGGCCCAGGCACAAAGCTCCTGCTTCGACTTCAAAGACAGATTAAGGCATGGGCTTCCGACTCTCTGCAGCCAGTCCTGGGCGCGGACACGACGGTCTTCGTCGCTGTCTGCACCTCGACGTCGTCAAGGATGGGAGGACAAAGCGTCAGCGCAGCTGAGGAAGCCGGGCACTGACTCAGTCAACCGGATCTTCTCAGCTCCTGGCCCTGGAGGCATAGATGCACTCCTGAGGACCGCACTGAGGAAGCAGCTGGAAGCAAGCAACATAGACAACATGGGCAG